AATGGAGAAAAGCTGAAAGCTTTCCCACTAAAAACAGGTACAAGACAAGGATGCCCACTTTCTCCACTCCTTCTCAATATAGTACTGGAAGTCCTCACCAACGCAATCAGAAAAGAGGAAAAAATTAAAGGCATCCAAATAGGAAAAGAAGAGGTGAAACTTTACTCACTGATTAATCTTCAGGTATAGCATTCTAATCAAAGCCCTGTCCAAGAATGAATATTTCCAATTTCTGATTCAATGCAACAAGCATTATTGAATTTATGCAAAGAACCTTTCTGCCACAAAATAAGAATACTCCCAAATATTTTCCAATTCCAGAGGGGTCAGGAAGGAAGAAAAGTTTATGTTTCCATTTAAATAAGCAAACTTTTACTCAAAAGTCATAAAATTCTATTTCGCCAGTTCAGTCTTATGTTCAAACTCTCTTCTGTTGAACATGCAGTGTTACTGTGGTCCAATCTTCCCGTCTAACCCCTGGAAGTTAACATTCAACGTCATTATTGATATTTCCTGTCCCTAGCATTAAACTGATCGTTTTCTTGGTTGCTTTTTGTTCTCTTATTTCTGTATGTGTCTTTAGTTTTCTTGGTAGAGCACTCCCTTCAGAACTTCTTGAAGAGTGGGTCTGCTATTGGCAAATTCTTTCAGGTCTTGTTTATCTGAAAATGTTTTTATCCTTTCTTTCCATATGAAAGATAATCTTGCCAGGTATAGTATTCTTGGTTGAAACTGTTTTTCACTTAACACTTAGAATATATTTTCCCATTCTTTCCTTGCTTGCATTGTTTCTGATGAGAAGTCTGAGGTTAGCCTGACTGGATAACCTTTATAAGTAACGTGACGTTTCTCTCTTGTCAATTCTAGTATCTTGTCTTTGTCCGTACATTTGGCCAGTCTGGCTATGATGTGCCTTGGAGAAGATCTTCTTAAGTTGCTTCTATTAGGGGTCCTTTATATTTATTGGGTCTGGATATTTGAATGCCTCTCTAGATTTGGAAAATTTTCTTCTAAAATTTCATAGAATAAATTATCAATGACCTTATTAGTTTCCTCACTTTCTGGGATACCAATTATCTGGATGTTTGGGTGCTTAATGCTGTCTAGTATTTCTCATATAGTGTTCTCATTTTGAAGGGTTATTGTCTCAGTTTTTTTTTAAAGAATTATTTTATTTAACTTTATTTATTTTAATTTGACCAGAGAGGGACAGAGTGTGAATGAGAGAGAGAGTGAGAAAGCAAGCAACCAGGTCCGGGGCTCGAACCACAGTCAGCCAAGTGGGAGTCCAGCACTCTTAATCACAAAGCCACCTGCTGGCCGCTGGGTTGTTTTTTCTAGATTAGAGGTTTTGCCTTCAACATCTGATATTTGATTTTCTCCATGAACTAATCTGCTTTTAATACTTTCAAGGGAGGTTTTGATTTCCTGAATGGCAGCCTTCATTTCAAATGGCTCCATTTGATTCTTTTTTATGGTATGTATTTCCTCTTTCAGATCATGGAAAAACTTCAGCACGTCCTGGAACTCGTTGTCTCTTTTGTCCTGCATCTTCTGGAGTTCATTATCTCTTCATTTCATTTAGTTTTGTCACTATGAATATTCTGAATTCTCTATCAGACATTTCCATGAGTTCTACTGTACTGTCTATGGATGATGAAGGATTGTTCTTTTCCCTTAGATATTTTCTTGGTTTCTCATATTTCTTGTCCCTCTGCAGTGGTTTCTGGTCATTCTGTGACAAAATCTCTCCTCCACTTGTCTGAATATTTCAGGAGTCTCGAAGATGGAGCTTAGAGCATAGTTTTCTTTTTTTATTTTTTTGGAGAGGTTTTTGCTATAGGGCGCTCACCAGACAGACAGACAGAGACAGAGACAGAAAGCAAGAAATCATCTCCCAGGGAGGATGGCCATGCTGCAATCCCTTCTCCTCTGTTCTCCTCTCGGGATCTTGGGCATGCTCGCACACGCGCCCAGCATGAGTTTTAAGCCACCGGGTCCCAGACGCAAACCGTGGTCAACTACATGGGAGTCCAGCGACATAGCCATTACGCTAACTGCTGGTCCCGAGCATAGTTTTCTTTTTTTTTTTTTTTTTTTTGGAGATATTTTCACTATAGGGTTTTTTTTTTTTCACTATAGGGCGCGTGCGCTTGCCAGACAGAGAGAGACATAGAGACAGAAAGCAAGAAATCACCCCCCAGGGGGGATGGTCATGCCACAATCCCTTCTCCTGCATTCTCCTCTCGGGATCTTGGGCACACACGCATGCACGCCTGGTGTGAGTTTTAAGCCACTGGGTCCAGGACGCAAACCGCAGTTGACTACGTGGGAGTCCAGCAACATAGCCATTACGCTAACTGCTGGTTCCCATCGACCATAGTTTTCTTGAACAGGCCAGGACACACCTCAACTTTAAAAAGGCTTGTCTGAATATTTCCTGAGTCTAGAACTACTACCTATCGTTTTTTAGAGATTTTTGCCATAGGGCGCATGTGCTCATCAGAGAGATAGAGAGATAGAAAGCAAGAAACTGTTCCCTAGAGGGTATGGCCATGCTGCAATCCCTTCTCCTCCATTCTCCTATCAGTTTTTTGGGCACACATGCACATGTGCCCAGCATGAGTTTCAGACCACCAGGTCCAGGACTCCAACCACAGTCAACCATATGGGAGTACAGCAACTTAACTACTATGCTGCCTGCTGGCTCCATTTTACTTATCTTTATTCTATAAATATTTAAAACAAATCTGTAGAAATAGCGAGGAAGACTGAGATGAAATAAGTAAAATGTTAACAGATGGTATGTCAGGTGGTATATGCTTTCTTCTCTATCTCTTCAACATTTCAAAAAATTTTAAATATGTAAAAACTTTTATGATAGAAAACATATTTTTTCTATGATTGAAAAAATGCTTAAAACAAAGCAGATTCCTTCCTGGTGTCAACAAGGAAAAATCCAAGACCAGTTAAAATTTTTTTCTTTTTTTAGAGAAATTTTTACTACAGGGCATGCATGTGCGCTCACTAGAGACACAGAGAAAGAGAGAGAGAAAGTGAGAAATCACCCCCCTAAGGGGGATGGCCACACCTTGTTATTATGATTAAAAATAACCATTCAGTATTATCATAATTACATTGACCCTAGTACCTAGATCACCCTTCCCCTTCTCCTCCATTCTTCTTTTGGGATTTTGGGCACACAAGCACATGCGCCGCCTGGCATGACTTTCAAGTCACCAGGTCTGGAATCTGAACTATGGTTGGCCACGTGGGAGTCCAGCACCTTAACCACTGTGCTGTGTGCTGGCCTCAAGACCAGTTAAATTTAACACACTTTAACAGGTAGCCTTCCTGACAGACATTACTAAGGGGGAGGCGGGGAGGAAGAGTGCAAGTTATATTTATAGCCAGAGAAAAAGAAGTGACATACAAAACCAACTGTGAGTGGCTGCAGCTGGCAAACGCCTAATATGCTCATGGTCTGATCAGCTGGCAGTCTGTGACTAGCTAAAGGTTGGCTGCTATGATTGGCTAAGGCTCAGTTGCTAGTACCAGGTATAAAACATTTCTGCATATCAAGCTAGGTTGCAGTTCAATATCAAAGAAGGCTGCTTGGAGAAAAAGTTTTCACTCAAGTATGGAGGCCTGGTTAGGCCAGTTTGGTTCAGTTTAACATGGGTCATAGGGGTTTCTTCACATGGCTTCATGTCCCTAGTAAACATCCAAAGAAATTATATACTAGAGTCTTTCATTTACATCTATTTATTGAGTGCTAGCTAGGTAGAGACTACTATTCTAGATAGTGGGGATATAGGGTGAACTAGAAAAAGTCCCTGCCCTCATGGAATTTATATTCTATTGGGACAACACAGCTGACGCACAAACAAAAAAATACTAGACACTGATAGTGCTGCATAGAGAATTAAAATAGATGATACAACAAATACTAGCGTTTTTAGATCAGAAGATCAGGAAAGGTTCAAAGGATATGAGTTTTAAGCTGATACCTGAACAAGAAGATCCAGGCTTGGGAGATTAGGGAAGATAGGTGAGAATGCTAGTGACAAGACACTGAGCAAAAGTAAATGTGTCTAGTTTGAGGAAATGAAAGAGGCCACTGTGTCTGGGGAAGACTGTATGAGGGAGAAAGTGGTGAAGACATTGTCCTTCCTTCAGGAACTTGTGGTGAAACAGCTTGGCAGTCACGCACTGAGTTTCTGACACCTCTACTGTTTTGGCAGAAACGTGTAAAGGATGTCAAATTTACATTATTATGCAGAGCAAAAAGGCAGGACTTTTGAAAAAAGAATTTAGTCTCTTTTCTTCTGCTCTAGGCTATCTATAATCAAAGGGAGTGAATGGTAGTGTTAGCCTCAGAAAGGAAGCAGATATTAATGCATATTTCATAAAACCCAACCCATGCCAAGAAATCCAAATTATTCTCCAAAATCAAGGCTTACTTATTCTTCCCAAACTCGAACTTTCCAGGTCCAATTCTAAGTAGATAGCCATTGAGCCAGGTAGGAAAACGTCCTCGGATTCGGGCAGGGATGGTTTGTGGCGTCTCCTTCACTGTGGTCAATAGTGGTGCAATACTTGGCAGATTCTGCCGCTCCCTGAAGATAGCTTTTTTCTGATGAGTATTTCCCATGTATTTCAAAACTACACAAAGGAAATCAAAAGCACAAAAAAATGTTACCAGTCTTTTTATAAACAGGCCTATTTCTCTACAATCTTACTGACTGGCAGTTTAAGAGAAATGTGAACCTAAAACCAAATAAAGTCTCCAAATTCTTGTCTCCTTCCTCATTCTCAGACTATCAACTCTGGTTCTCCATTTTCAAACCACAGCAATCTTACATTTCTTGCAATATTAATCTACCTAAGAAATTAACTCAGCACATTAATTACTATTATTATCCCTTCTCATAGTTGAACAATACTTGTCTCTATGAGAATAAATCTCTGTAACACTAGATGTGCTAATAGCAACCTCATTATTATGATTAAAAATAACCATTCAATATTATCATAATTACATTGACCCTAGTACCTAGATACACTAGAATGTGATTTCACAGTGATTTCTGTAAAGTTATTAGAATCTTTAAGGGACCGGCGGATGGCATAATGGTTATGTCACTGGACTCCCACATAGTTGACAGCAGTTCAAGTCCTGGATTGGGTGGCTTAAAACACACAACGAACATGTGTGTGTGCATGCCCAAAATTCCGAGAGAAGAATGGAAGAGAAGAGATTGCAGCATGGCCATATCCCCTGGGGTGCAATTTCTCACTTTCTGTCTCTCTATCTTTCTCTCTCTGGTGAGCACGCACACTCGACAGCAAAAATCTCTCTCTCAAAAAATTGAATCTTTAACTTCTTGTATTTTAATGGCACATACATTAATGCACATGGCACTTTCTTGGAGAAAGTTGTCATGAAATATGCAATGATACCCAACCTAATATTACCTTTAGTTCAAAAGCCACAAGAAGCAAGTATTGCTAGTATATAATCGGGAGTTGAAAATTGTACCTATTATTTCTGCTTACTGAGCATTCACAGGGCAGACAGTTGGTCAAATACATAATTAATTAGGTAGTATAAAATAAAATAAAATAAACTTCTTGTTTTATTTCACAACAGTTTAGCTGCAATACAGAAGTCTAGACAAGAAAAATAAATTACCACATCAGGACATTATTCCTCTAAAGAAATGAGATTTGCATTCTGTTAGCAAATTATTTTACAATATATCCATATCCCATTTCTCTCAAACCTTTCAAAAATCTACTTTGGAGCATGAGATTTTCTTCTTTTCTACATGTAACAATTCAACCAAACCCATCTATGTCCCAAATAAAATTCACATTCACCCTTAATGTCCTTCCCAACACCTACCCTAAGAAAATAATATCAAAAAAAAAAAAAAGAAAGAAAAGAATATCTATTGTTCAAAGTCTATCTCAAGTGTTACTTCAACTAAAAGGCAGCATTGTGCAATATTTGAGTGTGAGCTGGGGCTCTGCCTGCTCCCAACTGCTTCAGTTTAAACTTTGGCCTGCCATCTGCCAAATAAGCAGCCTTAAGCAAGACACAAATAACCTCTCTGTGCTATTTCTTCATTTCTAAAGTCGAGATAATAATTCTTACCACTTCTAAACCTGTAATAGTTAGCTTATGTATGAGCTTATGTAAAGATCTTACAACAAAGTAAACACTCAAAATATGCTAGCTATTATTATATAACCTTAATGATCAATCCAATAAAATATCTTTTTTATTATTTTATTCATTTGACAAAGTATGTGGCACTGATAAAGGATAAAAAGTATTTTAAGTATTATAGCCCTAAGGAACTTCCTGCCTAGTAAACAACAAACACTCATTACTGTAATGAGTGTTTTGTTTCGGCATTGCTTCTCAAAGTCTGGTCTGAGGACTACTTACAACAGAAATGCCCGATGATATTGCTAAAAATACAGTTTCCTGGACTCCTCTCTGTTCCTAATAAGTCCAAATCTCTGGGAAAGAAAAAGCAATAATCTTTTGGGAACCACAATATTGGAGGTATGAAAAGAATGCTTTGAAATGATAAAGAAGGAGCCTCGTGGGTATTCATCTTGCTCTACTTTTATTAACACTGTGCATATTTCTCTTTTCTCCTCTCAGATTAATATAAATTCCCTGGGATCAGGTATTTTACTCATCTTACTTATTTAAGTAGAACTAAATCAAATAGCCTGTTTGGTCATTTGAGTAAATATTAGGTTGTCTGAAAGTCATGATGCATTTTTCTGTTCTTCTATACAAAAATGCATGACATTCCCAACAACCAATACATGAATTTAAAGCATTTTACACTTTAGAAAACATTTATATGTCTATGTTCTATACACCACTGCCTACTATTGGCAATGATTTCCACACTTCCTACAGTTCTTGATATTGCCATCAACATATTCTTAAACCTCTTTCTATTCTTGGCTTCTGAGATATCATACTATTCTAACTTTTCTGCTTTCTCTCTGACTACTCTGCTTTATGCTAGTTTCACTAGTTATTAGCTCACTATTTAGGGCAAGTTATTTCATCTCTCTGGGCCTCAGGTTTTTAAATAATAAAATGCAGATTAAAAAAAAGGTTACTACTTCCTGTTCATGTCTAATGTTAAATATACAATAGTAAATAATTTTCCAAATGCTAATTCTGTTATCACATCATGAATGTGTTCCTAAAGCCTGACCTTGGGCCTTTATTCCTTAATCTCACCTCTTGCCCTTGGCAATCTTATCTAGCCTCTTAATTTCACCAATTACTTCTTACAGGTGACTCTTGATCTATGGAAATATTACTATAATCCATTTTCCTCCTTCCGAATCAATTCTCCCAACTGCTAAATCACCTAGATTCAAACATCTCAGTGGCCTTGAATTCACCCTCTCCATTACCCCTCACATTCACTAAGTGAATTCTGCTATATCCACACATAGCTGGTAAGGGGAAGTTAAAATGATAAGGGTGGCTAGTATAAATGACTAAGGCTCAGCAGTTTGCAGGAGTGTCTGGGGGAAATTCTCTAAAAAGATTTTTACCAGGGCCTCCATCCTGAATAGCCTTCCAAATTCTTTTCCTGGCCTGAACCTGCTCTCATCAGCACTGATGCTTCAACTACTCTTATCTTTTAGTGACTTCCTTCCCACTTTTCAAATTTAAAGCCTCACGACTCTTAAGTGGATATTATAACACTCCTAATATAGAAGGAGAAACTAGATAGAGAGTCAACTCTCTTGTACGCCAGAGTTTCAGAACTGGAAGACCTCTTGATTCCCTTAGTTCTTGGGCTGGCCAGGGGCCCAGCTCTAGGTAACTCCTTAAAACTCCATATCCCATCCAATTTACCCCAGTGTGCATTAAACATACTACCATTTTCTTCATGTATTATGTTAAAAAGATCAAGAAGCACTGCTGCTAAGTTAATTTTCCTATAGATCTGACTGCATCATATATTCCTCCATAAAATCTCACAAATGGTCCCACACCACCTACCAGGTGACATCTAAACTGATCAGCCAGGCACTTATAAAAGTCTCCTACAGTGTTGTCCCAACCTATCTGTCCAGTTAGTGGCAGGCCGTCACTAACGCCTTCCACTTCCACCTAATTAGACCACTCATTTCCTTCTCTGCACCACGATCAAACCATTCTCCTCGCCATAGTTCCCGATCTCCTTCAGATGAAATCACTTACCCAACTCATCTTTCAAGATCCAGTTTTCATGTCACCTGCTTCATAAATACAGCATTCCCAGTTCCTATAGCAAAAACTGATTGTCCTTCATTTGAATTCATTCAATATCTGTTTATAGTTTTCATATGGCCAATATCTTATTCTACCCTATGTGACAAAGATAAATATACTTCATAACCCCTACTACCAGTACTCTAGGCATATAAGGTCTGGTTTTCATTTCCCTTCTCTCTCAAGTACCTAGCACATTGCTTTGCACACTGCAAGCATTAAATTATCCAATTAAACAATTTTAAAATGTATATTGTATCAGTATGACTTCTGATAGCTCGACATCAGCCAATTTCCAGAAATAAAATCATGTAACACTACAGCTATAATAGAAAGCTGTGAAACAATGAGCATAGGTATCACTGCAGTTCCCCAGAATGCAAATAGAAACATTTATATTAGAACATGTGGTAATGATTTTCAACTTAGAAAAATCTGAATAGTACATATCCTTCTTATTGCATATCCAAAAGAATCCCTAGACCTCAAATCATTCCCCTATGTGTCGCATAAAGTAAACAAACACGAAGGATGTTTTCCTGAGGATGATGAAAGAATCCTGCTCAGTCTTCAACTTCCGGCTCTGCGGTGCTGCTGCCAGCATCAGCTTTACACAGAGTGGAAAGCTTCAGAAGCCCCCAGTAATCTTCAGAAAAGAGGCACAATTCAAAGTGCAGACTCGTGGGAAGAAAAGGAAGAGGAAAGAGAAAGAGAAAGGGGTGGTTCCCCTACCTTGGAGCCGATGCACTATCACAGAAAGGAAACCCACTCCAATGGTTAAAAGATTGCTGACAAAACGGAGAAAAATTCGGTAAGACATTTTTGTATTAGGCAAATCTGCGCTTTCCAAAAATCCTGACGAGCACTGTTAGTTCGAAGTACCACTAAACAATGAACACTCAAAGAACTGCATTGTTCCCAGCTCACTGATATAATAGGTTGGAGGTGGAGAGGTAGAGGGTGGAGTTTCAGAATTCCTGTGATCTCTTAGTTTCATTTACATAACAATTATCCCAACAACCTATCTATAATAAGCAATTGTTTAAAGTATTAAAATTGGACCACCAATGGTGGTCTCTCTTCGTAAACTTCCTTTTTTTAAATCTGTCCTCACAATAAAGGTAGCTGATACTGATCCATGGGATCAATTTCGTTAAGCCATTCTCCCCTCTAAAAGATTTAGATAGAGTATAAAGTCCATTTAGATTGTCAATAAATTCTACAGTATAGCAACAACTTCCCATTTACTATCTCTCTGCCTTTCTATCATTTCATCCTCCCTTCCATTTTTTTTGTTTGTTTGTTTGTTTTTTGGTATGTGTATGTGTTGTTTTTTCCAGAGAGGGAGTGTTAGAGGGTGTATGTATGTGGTTGCCAGAAAAAGAAAGAGAATCCCCTGAGGGGTGTGTGGTCACTTCACAATCCTTTTTCCTCCATTTCTCCATCTCCTCAGGATTTTGGACTCCCACACACTTGCATCTGGCATGTTTTTCAAGAAGTTAGTCAGGGATTCGAAACTTAACCATGTGGGATCCAGCTTTCTTAACTATACACAGCACTTAATGGCTGCACTATGGGGCCAGCTCCCTTTTCTATTCATTAGTCTAATACTTGAACCACAAAGTAGGCCATATGGGTTCCAGCCACCTTCGACCACCTGACCATATGACCTACTTTGTGGTTCAAGTATTAGACTGAGTGGCTTTGAGAAACACGATGAGCACAAAATATGTGAGTGCCCAAAATCCCAAAAGAGAAAAATGAAGGGAAAGGGACTGCGATGTGTCCATTCTTCATGGAGGATGCTTTCTCACTTTCCCTCTCTCTCTTTCTCTCTCTCTGGCAAGCGAATGTGCTGACAAATTTTTAAAAAATAAATGAAAGTTGGGACCAGCAGTTAGCGTAATGGCTGTCGCTGAACTCCCATGTAGTCGACCATGGTTCGAGTCCTGAACCTGGAGGCTTAAACTCACACCAGGAGCATGCGTGTGCATGCCCAAGATCCGGAAAGGAGAATAGAGGAGAAGGGAGTGCAGTGTGGCCAGCCCCCCTGGGGGGTGATTTCTCGCTTTCTGTCTCTCTGTCTCCCTCTGTCTTTCTGGCAAACACACTAGTCCTACAGCAAAAACCTCTCCAAAAAAAGGAAAAAAAATGAAAATAAATATTATCATTTTAGAGATTTTTGCTGGTGAGGGCATGTGTGCTCACCGGAGAGACAGAGAGACAGAAAACAAGAAATCACCCCCCCCCCCAGAAGAGATGGCCACACCACAATCCCTTCTCCTCCATTCTCCTCTCAGGATTTTGGGCACGTACACATACACACATACACACACACACACACATCTGGCATGAATTTAAGCTGCTGGGTCCAAGACTCGAACCTCGGTCGGTTACATGTGAGTCCAGCAACGTAACCATTACACCATCTGCTGATCCCAGTAAATATTATTTTTAAAATAAAATAGTCAGAGAGGAGTGTCTTACACTTTTATGTATTTTCCAAATTGAAATAGCCTATAGGTCTTATTGTGTATATTAATTAATGCTTAGAAAAATTAACTCAAGAACAATTCTTAATGACAGTAGGTCAGCAGAGTTATCTTTGTATTTCAAATACTGAAGAACTCTGTAAGGTAATAAAATAAGGCAAAATTCAGGTAATATCATATTAACTCAAATATAGTTTTCTGGTCATATTCAATTTTTTAAAATTTCATTTCTAGTATTTGCTTGACCTCCTGCCTATGCTATGCCATCAGTGTACATCTTTACCAATTCAGTAATTTTTTCCATTTAAACTTTTTTCTCTTTACTCATGATAGAGAGCATGTGCAAGCACATGCGGGAGAAAGAAACACCCTCCACAGATGGGATCATGTTGTGATCCCCTTCTTTCAGTCTGTCAGATCCTTGGCACACTCATGTGTTCCCAACATGCTTTGGGAGGACTGAGCAGGGGATTCAAACACAGTCACCACATGGAATCCAGATTTTCTTGAGTAGTGCACTACCCTGCATGGAGCTAACCCGATTTTTTTCAAACAATTTTATTTTAGTAAGTATTATTTTATTTTACTTTTACCATCCTTTCTTGTATGGGTATTTAAGTTGTATATGGTCATACCTTAGAATAGTAATTTGATGAAATTTTAGTTTAGGGTTTAGAAGGTAACAAGGCAAATGTGTTACCACCCTTAGGAATACCAATTTTCTGTGGTATTGTTTTCAAATGTGTCTAAATTTGTGAATGCTCTTACTATTAAAAATATACATATCGGGACCAGCAGTTAGAGTAATGGCTATGTCGCTGGACTCCCACGTAGTCGACCACGGTTCGCGTCCCGGACCCGGTGGCTTAAATTCACACCGGGTGCATGTGCGTGCGTGCCCAAGATCCCGAGAGGGGAATGGAGGAAAAGAGATTGTGGCATGGCCATCCCCTCTGGGGGGTGATCTCTCGCTTTCTGTCTGTCTCTGTCTGTCTGGCAAGTGCATGTGCCCTATAGCAAAAATCTCTCCAAAAAAAAAAAAAAAAAAATATATATATATATATATGTATCATAGACTGAATTACATGTGGGCTTGAAAAATGGATGCTGTAATTTTTTAAAAATCAAATTAACATATTAAGTTGTGGAGAAAGCCATGACGTGTTTTTCTGTGCAAAAATGCATCATGACTTTTCCAACCACCCAACACTTACCCCTTTATAATTAGATAGTATATAGAAAGTTTTCAATAGTATAATAGCAGTATTTTACATCAAAGACATCATTGTTTTAGCCAGATAAGTAGTAGAGACCCTCCATTGCAAACTCAACTTCTAAATTACAATAGGATTTAAGTGACCTGTCAAAATTGTCATGTTGTCAACTAATCTCTTTAACTGAAGATCACTAATCCTTATTTCACAGCAAACAGCCAGTAAATTTCCTAACTATAATCCACTAACTACATCCATTGATGTGGTTGATGTGTAAAAAGCCGACTCATACAAGGTACTAGTTAGCAATTTCTGGTTTTTATTTTACTCCTTTTACTACAATAAAATAATTTTAAACTAAGTTTATATTAGTCATATATCGTAATAGTAAAAATAATCAAATAGCAATGTTAAACAGTAACAGCAGTTATATTTTACTACATGGTGAGAAACTAGGAAAGGTTTTAATGTTCTTTTATAACACCAATCATAAAAAAAAAAAACTTAAAACTACCTCCAAAGTTATCTGCTATTAAATAAGAATATTCTTTTAAAAAGTACACTATTGTAGTATTGTTAAGCATTATATAATTAACTGTATTCTTTTAGAAGTTTAAGAAAGGATAGAAAGTTTAAAGGAAAAAAAGAAAACACTCCATATATGATTTATATAATTTACACTTTAACAAAATGTGCCCCAAAATCTGGCCCTGAAAAGAAAAACTACATACTTGATATTAATGTCCAGCTCAAAGCTCTTTTTAAATCTAGGAAAGAAATTCAAGGAGTTTCCCCTTCTCTGAGATACACATTTTCTTTAACAACTAGGGAGCTTTTGAAGCATAAATGTCATTCTTTCATTACAACAATAACAGGTTTAAATTCTCAGTTTATTTTAATTGCACATTTTATCTGTGTAGTGTGTTTGCAATCACTGTTAACCTCTGTCTCAGGAGCTCTCTTTTTTGTATTAGGAAGTTTTCAATAGTATTGGCTTCTTTGAAGAGTCCATCTATCTCGTCAATGTAAGATGCATCTACTGCTGCTCTCTCGCTAATGGGGGAAAAAAGTGTTACATTAAACTAGTTATAAAATCTAAATACACCATCATGGTGACGTTTATTATACTCTACATTTATTAGCTATTTCATTTAAATTGCTTTATGTACTAGAGAGCTTCATTAACTCACTAATACTCTTCAGGAAAAAGTTAAATTAATGACACATTTTTCACTCCTCGAAAAAGATCCTGACACAGAAAAACATATCTCATATACTATAACTCTCACACTGAATTATCTACATTATTTTTACAGCTACACAAACCATTATTCAAGAATAAGGATTGTCCAGTAGTTTAAAAAAAATAATATGTAGGGCCACCAGGTGATATAGAAGTTAAGGTGCTGGATCCCACATGGCCAGTTGTGCAGTTCAACACCCAGACCAATGGCTTGAAAATCCCAAAGGGCACATGTGCATGTGTACTCAAAATCCCAAGAAGAGAATGAAGGGAAATGGACTGCAGCATAGCCATCCCCTCAGGGGGTAATTTCTCACTTTCCCTTTCACTATTTCTGTCTGTCTCTCTCTCCAGAGAGTATATGAACCCTAAGGCAAAAACCTCTACCCCCCAAAAAAGAAATGACAATCTCAGTTCAATAAAATACTTAAATTCAGTTTTCAAATATATATAGATAAAATATAAACATATTATATAAATATTTAATGAACTATTTCCATTAGTCACAGTATTTTAACTCATTACTATGTATTTATTTATTTTAGTTTGGTCATAGGGCACATGTGTTTAACAAAGAGACAGAAAAAGAGAGGAGGAAAAGTGCCAAATGACCCCTCACAGGGAACGGCCATGCCACAATCTCTTCTCCTTCATTCTCCTCTCAGGATGGTGGGTACACATGTACACACACCTAGTGTGTTTTCCAAGCCACCAGGTCTGGAACTTGAACCATGCAGTTGGCCATATGGGATCCAGTTGCCTTAACCACATCACCAGCTGGCCTATTATTATTATTTTTAATTACCAGTGCACATGCACTCACCAGAGAGAGAGAGAGAGGAAGAAAGTATCCCCTAATGTGGTGTGGTCTCACAATCCCTTCTCCATGTCTACAATATGCTAGGATTTGGGGCATGCACACATGCATGCACACACACACAATGTGTTTTTCAAGGTGCTGGGAGCAAGAATCAAACAACCCAGTCAGTCATGTGGGATCCAGCTGGCCTAACCACTAGGCCACAGGGCTGGCCTCATATGTAATAAATATTTATCTTTAATAATATTCTATTATCATTAATTTCACCAAATGGCATTTCTCTTAAGCAGATATTTACATAAAATTCAAAATGTGATGTCATCTAATTAAAGACCAAAATACATTCAGTCTAGTTATTACTCAATAGTTCTGGCAATAATAAAACAAAGTATTTTTAGCAAAAAAGTTGAGGTTATTCCCTGAAAATAACCAACTAATCTTTTATAAGCAACTGAGGTAGGACAAAAAATTCTGTAGTTTTAATTACTTAGTAGGTCTTGCAATCACAGAATTAAAATTCCCAGTGCAGTTTCCAGAAGAGAATTTCTATTTCTAACATAAAGACCAAAGAGAATATACAGTAAGTACTTGCCTTAAAATCTTTGCATATGTAGACAACATTAGATTAATTTCCTTGCTCATATCTGTTTCAAAAAAATCATCAAGTTATAAAATATAATAAACCTTCTGTACTGCAAAAATTGATTTATAGCAACATAAAAATTTTATACACCACCATTTAAATCTTTCTCTAAGACTTCATCTTTATAAAGTAGTCCAGAATTTTCAGAGAAAGACGAATCTGATTTTCCAAGAGAGGACAGCTGTGGACTATCTGGCATTTGAGGCTAACAGAGCAAGGCAAAGAAAATATATGGTCAATAAGAGCCTTATCACATGAACATCGTGTCCACAAAAGAAAGAACAAATTTTTTTTGAAAAATGTAAATATGCTAGAAATTACATATTCTCATGACCTAACTCATCATTGAAAATTGTACTCCCCAAAAAACTTTCAGGCCCAAGATAAACCTTGCTCAATATACTAAATTTTATTTTGGCTTTAAATTCGATTTTGGATATGATTTTACTCCCCTGGTGAAAAAGTATCTGGTATTTTGAATCAAATTTGTTTACAAAGCAATATAGCAAAATCATAATTTGGACAATAGCCAAATACTACTGCAAGATAACATAATCTTCATGAGAGGAATAATGTCCCAAATGCAATAGATCAATTGCAGGGGCCAGGATATAGTGCTCTTCCTTTAAAAAAATAAGTAACTACAGTACCTAGCTATCTTATACAGCAAAATATGTAATGTCCTATATGCCATAAAAGCACGAACTCACTCTGTCTCTAAAACACAAGCTACCAAAAGAAATCTCCCAATAGTTTCTTGGAGTTTTATACTTCGTTTAAAAAAAAAAAGTAGGTGCAGTCAACAAAGTTTCTGCTGGGACAATTCCAGCTCTGGTAATATAAAAATATTAAATCACATTTATCCATAGAGCCTCCTTAAACGGAAGAAATTTGCTAAGCACATAAAATAGAATAAAAGATTAAGGCTCCAGGATCATAGAGCTTACCTCTAATTCTCGTGGTCTCTTGCAATTTCTATTATCAGGCTTCACAGCATGACCTGCCATGATATTCTGGAGGCACAAACTCGAAAGTTTAGATTGATGCCAAATTTAGGTACAAACTTCATGTTACAGTTCTCTTGAATCCCACCCTTTTTCCCCATGCCTACTGCTGCTGTTAACTAAGGTTCTCAGTAGCTGTCACTTAGTTAAATTCAGTTATACCCTTCTCTAAATCATTCTACCAACAGTAGTTTGAATAATCTTTCAAAACTTTGATTAACTTAAAAACCTTCCACTGACTCTTCACTGCTCCAGAATAAGTACAAATTCTATGGTATGGCATCCAAAGTTAATACCTTACGGTGCAGCCAACCTACCATTCCCAACATTTTCTACTACTCCCCCATGTATACTCAGCCAAACTAGTCTCTTCAATACTTCTGTCTTGTTTCAGGACTTGAGGTTCCGCCAAGATTCCTTTACTGTCACAAAATCTTAATATTGAAATCCATCTTACAGTTCATCAAATTCAATTTTGTTTTCCACAAATGAGATAAAAAAGACAGAGATGGCTGACCAAGGTCAAATAAGGGGCCAGATGGGAGCCAACATCTCCTCACCATTGTAGTGTGGGATTGTTTCTACCTTACTTTAACAGGGCTTCACGTTTTACTTTTAAATTAGTTTCTCAAAAACGGTGAACGAATTTTCCCGAGTCATCTAAAAATTAAGTTTAAACTAAGGTTGAAATCTAGTCTCTCTTGGAGATAAGGTACCCTATGCACATTCAAGTTATCAATTCATTTCCTGTTCGTTTTTTGATAAACTATTCTGACCTGGAAAACTGTAATAAACCTGTTTGATTAGTAAGTATAGAACATGCATGATGAGCAGAAAGAGCAACAAGAAATCACAGAGAAAGATGTTTAGTAAATTCCGTACAGTACTTCTACATGCCTGCTAGCACATCTATAGCATGCAAGTTTAAGCGCTGTAACAGTTTTACGGAAGAAACCACACGTGCTCATCTGCGGTACTCACTTCGCCTTGGGAACTGCAAAATGTTACGGAGAAACCAACCTGAGAGTTGTTCCCCTTTTACTCTCCCTTTTATAACTCTTCTCTCCTCTTTCAAAGCAACAGGATGAGCACTGATGCCCAATGAACATTTTTATAATTAGTTAATTCTATTTGTATAAAAATAAATTCGTTTTTCTGTCATAACTGAAGTCCTAGGCCAATTTCCAGTCGGATTGAGAGGCTGGTCCTCCGCCTGTGACAAGCACCATTGTGCCCCCGGCTATGCGATCTCGGGGTTAGTAACAAGGTCACTGCCAAGGCCCCCCACCCACTCGGCCTTCTGCAACCGTTTTCTTCCTCCAGTCCTTTCTTCTCAAGACAATTCTGGCCCCCCCGGCCATTTCCCCGCTTTTGCCCGGATCCCGCCTCGGCCCTCTTTCCTCCCTACTTGCCCTTCAGACCCACTAGAGTCCTGAAAGGAAGCGTCCCTCCTCTCTCGCCGCCTGTATCACACTTAGTCCTGTTCTCACAAGCCCCTATCCCTCCAGCCCCACCACCGACCAGTCTGCTACCCGGCATGAGGATCTTCCTCGACAAGGAAAGCGCGGGAAGGTTGCGGAAGCCCCGGCAAGTGCGCAGGCGCCAGCAAGTGGCAAGTGCGCAGACGCCCAACTCCCAGAGGGCAGCGCGCGAGTCACGTGACAGCTGCCGGTGCCCAGAGCCTGGCCCTGGGATAGCGTCCTACTTCGGTTCATCGCTGCTCTAACTCTATCACGTGGAATCTTCGTGAAACGGAAATCCCTCGGCCTCCCATTGGGTATTTGAGGATTGACAGGGAAAATGTGTAACTGGTCTCAAGAAAGAACAAAGAGTTGCCAAAGCGAGACCAAGTGGTACCCTAACAGCTTGGACTCTTTGAAAAAGAACATAGTGTTACACACACACACCTTCTTTTAAGATAATCCTGTATCCTATTCCAGATGGTTGGTTTGATTGCAGGAAGCTTTTTTTTTTTCCAAATACTTATTTTATTTATCCATTCATTCATTTATTTTAATTTGACCAGAGAGAGATACAGAGATAGAGGGAAAGTGAGAAAGCAAACGACCATGTCCGGTACTCTAACCATGGTAGGACACGTGCCCAGCGCCTTAACCACCAAGCCAACCGCTGGTTCCCTGCAGCAAGCATTTAAACCCGAATTGTGTGGCCCAACGAGCAAGGCCTGTAGATCCAACTCCTAGGTTCACAGCCTTCCTTCCTCCCCTTCTTCTCTTTAATGCACCCACACATTCCAAATCACACCCCCTTTCAAAATGTATTTCTTGATGTGTCAGTTTACTGGACTTAATTAACAGGAGATTTCAGAAAGTATTGTGTAACATGCATGGCTCACATACTTATGGCTCATCCTCATTCGTTGCTTTAAAGTGATGACAACCACCTGCAGTTTCAAAGATAAACATTCTAAACGTATGCGATTTAGTTGATATGGGAGAGAAAACCAAGCATATCACCTGTGAAACTTGTTAGAATCAAAATGGAGTCATTTATGTTGAACTCTGACTAAATGCAGCCAAAGGCGGCCACGGAAGAGTCTCATGCAAGTATGCACGATAAGGAGAGCTGTCAAAAGGATTCTGTCAGAACCATAACCTTGTACAAAGATTACTACAGCTTTACAGGAGGATTACTTCCTCAAGGGCATATGTCCAGAAGCTGCCTGTCCCACTTTGTACTGCCATCACCCTTATTATTGATCTTGGTAACCAAAGATAATAATCTCAAACGATTAATGTAATTCCTCATTATTTTTCTTTTGAAAACGTTTGTTGGGGGACCAGCAGTTAGCGTAATGGCTATGTCGCTGGACTCCCACGTAGTCGACCACGGTTCAAGTCCCGGATCCGGTGGCTTAAACTCACGCCGGGCACGTGTGCGTGCGTGGCCAAGATCCCAAGAGGAGAATGGAGGAGAAGGGATTGCGGCATGGCCATCCCCTCTGGGGGGTGATTTCTCGCTTTCTATCTCTCTGTCTCTGTCTGGCGAGCGCACATGCCCTATAGCAAAAACCTCTCCAAAAAAAAAAAAAAGAAAACATTTGTCTTCCCTTACCTCCTTGAATAAAGGTGGTATTTACCACTGTACACATATTCCTTGTTGAGATGCCTCTTACCAGATAAACATAATTTTTTTAAAGTCTTTCTGCCTATTATTTAGAGGTTGTCACAAGTCATAAGACAAAGTTCAATAACACCTCTCTATAAACTCCAACTGTACAATATAACACATTAGCAGACTATATCTGACACATTTATATATCCTTGAAGTTTTGTTTACTTGTTTGCTTAATCGTTAGTTGCCAAGATTAGAAGTATTGGCCAGCCCCATAATACAGTGGTTAGGTATGCATAAAGAGCCACATCCCAAATGCCAACCATAGTTCAAATCCCAGCTGTGGAGGCTTGTAAAACACTCTAGGTACATACAGATATGCCCAAAGTTGTAACAAAATGGGAGGTGAGAGAATTGTAGTGTGACCACATCCCATTGGGGAGTGCCTTCTCTCACTTTCTGTGACAAGTACACATACCTCTGGCAATTATTAAAAACAAAACAAAACAAAACAAAACAAAAGCCTTGTAAGTATTGTATGGATGTATTTACTTGCTGTTTGTAAAAAAAGAAAATGGTTTAAGTAAGTTCCTAGAAAATAGGCACTCCATTTGTATAATTTGATTTGCTAATATTGTGAGATATAGGCCACTTACTAAACACTACAGCAGACAATTATGATAAAGTTAAAAGTTAAAAATTTTAACGGTCCCAATCACTGTCTGAAAACAGATAGAAATCTGTATTGAAAGTTTTACCATCTATAGGAAACCATTATAAATTTTTCATTAAATCAAAAGTTTTCATTTAAAAGAACTATCTCTTATTTTGATTCTTACTAAATCTTTTTGGTATTAAATCATTTTGTGAAATAAAAATAACACAAAGGATTTTAAGTTTGTTAATGTCCTTATTGAGTAAAATATAAAGTTGTCTAGTCAGTTTTATCTCTTCTCTGTTATTATTTTTAATGGTTCACAGCCTTCCTTCCTCCCCTTCTCTTTCAGAACCAAAAGTCTGGGAAATGCTACCTAATTCTTCTCCCACCTTTCACATTGTATGATATCCAAACAGTTGGTTATCCATCTGGTTCCTAAAATATTTCCAGGAAAAATGGTTTCATCTAATGTAGAAATATTTTCATACATGGTTTTAAGATAATACCATGAACATCGTATTTCACTTTTTAAAAACCCTATTTCCATTGCATAAGCTAAATGAGTGAGAATCAGTAAGAGTATGTGGAAGGTTATAGCTATCTAACTGCACTAAATCTTCAAAGAGCTTTCTCATAATCTGTCTTTAAAAAATAACCCTACAGAGGCTAGCAGTGGCATAGTGGTTAAGGCACTGGACTTCCCATGTGGCCCACTGCAGTTCAAGTTCTGGACCCAGTGGCCTGAAAATCTCAGCAAATAAATAGATAAATAAATAAATGTTTAAAAAAAAAAAGAGTAACTCTACAAAGTACACAGGACACTGAGACATTTGAGTTGCTCTTTATGAAAGAAAAAAACGTGTCCCCAGACTTGGAAATACATAAATTGTGCATTCTACATCTTTACAGCTGGAGAAAACTGACCAGCAATGGGCCATTTAAAATAAGAATGTGTTTGGTGCTCTGCTTCTGATCGCTGTTTAACCCTACTTCATACCTACATCTTTTTATTTAAGAATTACTTATTTAATTTTATTTATTATTATTGTTATTTTAAATTTGCTATAGGGCATGTGCACTCGCCAGAGAGAGACAGAGAGATAGAGAGATGGAGAGAGAGAGGGAAAGTGAGAAAGCAAACTTCCAGGTCCAGGACTTGAACCATGGTCGGCCATGTGGGAGTCCAGTGCCTTAACCAACAAGCCACATGCTAGCCCCCAATGCCTTCATCTTAATTGGTCCAACTGGACATTATGATTTCAAATTTAGCCACATATGTATTCTTACCATATGCTTCTCTTTTTAAAAATGATTATTTATTTTCATTTTATTTATTTATTTATTTTTGACCCGAGAGAGAGGGAAAGTCAGAAAGTATGCTGCCTGATCTCAGATTCAAACCATGGTCGACCATGTGGGAGTCCAGTACCTTAACTACCAAGCCATCTGCTAGCCTCTCTTATCGTATACTTAAAAAAAATGTTTTTTTCCTGATAATCACCATACTGAACACCTATAGATATCTTGCCACAGACTTCCTTTGTAATCACTGGTGTGGACATAATGTTTTTACGACCTTATGAAATTAAAATCCTATCTTATTTTTTAAAAAATTAAGGAAAGAACAAAAGATGCAAGGAAGAGTATTTATTTATTTATTCATTCGTTCATTTATTTATTTAAAGTTTGACCAGAGAGAGAGAAGGAAAGTAAGAAAGCAAGTCGCCAGGCCTGGGACTCAAACAGCGGTCAGCCATGTGGGAGTCCAGTGCCCTTAACCACCATGCTACCTGCTAGCACCCTCTTTTCGTACCATCTCTGTACTGGCAAAAATTACAACAAAAAATACCACCTTGCTAGGACCAACAGATGGCAATAGTTATGTCGCTAAACTCTCACGTGGGCAACTATGGTTTGAGTCCTGGGCCCGGAGGCTTGAAACTCATGCATGTGTGCATGCATGCCCAAAATCCCAAGAGGAAAATAGAGGAGAATAGATCCTGATGTTGCCATTCACCCTGGGGCGTGATTTCTTGCTTTCTGCCTCTCTGTCTTTCTCTGTCTCTCCAACAAGTGCAAAAATCTCTCTTAAAAAACATTCCACCTTGCTAATTCCCTTGCTAGTAAAGAAATATAACTCAGCAGGTTTTGAAAAACTACCTATGAAATTTTTAAATATTACTTTTAAGACTGCTATTTACACACTCTGCTCTTTAAAAGAAACATTTTAAGGACTATTTTTAATGAGTTGAATATAAGCCCTAGAATACTTTCCTTAAATCATGTGTCATAAGTTTGCCACGGTCCTAGGAACAGAACGCTTTAGTGCTAGAAACCACAAGTAAACACTTGCTCTTGTATCAGAAGTTTAGTATTTCTGCTGCAGAAAATTTTAAAAATTATTAAATAAATGTGAATGATAGTACGTATTATGCCTTGCATCTGATACAGCAGATTAAGGAGAAGCTTTATGAAAATGGACTGCTTCTCTGTCACTGAAAAGTAAATCTTAATGGTCTCTGACAACTACCCTTTGGCATCATGTCAAGCTTGGGAGAGAAACGTCCTAAATGAAGTCATAAAGTGAAAGAAAAAATATTTTTCAAAGTTTTGTATTTTCTTTCTTTTACAACTTAAATTTTAGAAACATTTTAGGCACTATGATTACATTGTAGGAATTCCTCCAGCGGAACTGATTATTCAGCATCGTTAGATTAAAAAAAAGTGTGCTGAAGTGTGATCAGAAAGTCTCAAAATGGAGAGACTGTTGTGACAAAGAAGATGCTTGTGGTGAACTAACCAGGTGCTCTCCGAAAGTGCTTCCATGTAATTCTGAAATAGGTACCGGTCTGGGGGAAGGTCAGAGCCCCAACGTTTACAGAAGAAATTATTTTATCTAAATAATGATTTCACATTAAAAGAAATACCCGTATTCTCTGCCACTTTATTTCAATTTCTCTTGCCCTAGGAAAGAGCCCACATCCGAAGGCGGGTCCAAGGCGTGCGGAGGGCGGTCTCCTCTCCGGTTGGTTGGTTCCTCCTGCTTCTCTCCCCAACGCCCTGGATCGAGTAGGCTTAACAGCGAGGAGTTCTGCAAATTCTGCATTCCGGGCTACCTCCTGCTGCTGAAAGTTCTGTCGCCTTTTGCGTCAGGAAGAGAAAAAAGGTCTCTAGATGGCTTCTTCTGGCGGGGATTGCACAGGTAGGAAATATCACTCACTGCTTTTTATTTGAAAACTCAGGCTTGGCAATTAGAGGCAAGTAATCTTGAAGAGCGATTGAGAAGAATTTCAGTCCCTTGACATCGCTGTGATGGGCAGTCGGTAACAATTTAAGGAACATAAGCCACGTCAGAGCAGAAACTTGCTCTTTTACAGTAGAGAGAAAGTTATAGGAGAGTGTCATCTTAGACTAGGGTTTCTCAAGTTTTTTGTCTCATGACCCCTGTACACTCTTAAAAATCTTTGAAAACCCCAAAGTTCTGTTTCTCTAGAAATTAATTTCTAATTTAGAAATTATAACTGAAATTTAAAAAAAAAATCATTACCTTGTTATCGGTTTTAAAATAACAATAAGCATACTACATTAGCATATGTAGCATTTCAAATTAAAGATTACCAGGTAGTCCAAAAAAAACCTAGTGAGAAGTTTTCCATTTTTACAAATGTCTTTCATGTCTGATTTAGTGGAAGGCAACTCTTCTGCTCTATAGTCAGACTTTTACAAAATTTACAGAATGTAGTTTCTGGTAAACCTGTTGTACACTTGTGAGAGAATGAGAGAGGAAGAAGACAAATTACATCTTAGAATTAGTAGAAAATAACTTTGACTTCATGAACTCCTGAGAATCAGTGTTTTAGAGTGATAAAAATCAGTAAGCTTCTTTTTAAAGGCAGTCTCAACTCAGTTATATTAAAAGCAAACAAAAAAATTTGCCCAACGTTGGTAATCTTCATAGAATCTTTAACAATCATCTTGGGTTGGGTTATGATTAGGTAATATTATATTATTAGCATTCCCCATGGGAACTTTACTTCGTAATGTAGAAGAGGTTAATAAACATCAGTATTTTGAGGTTGAATAACAAAAATCAGGACACCCTGAAATACCTCTTTACTTTCTGCCTATATTCAGCTATTTGAAGTTCTATTAAATTGTCCTTTAAAATATATGTGTGTACCTGGAATGTTTTCCTATGGCTTATGAAATTAAATTCACATTCTTCTCCATGACTTCATTCTCTACAATGCAGTTCCACCTTACTCTGTGTTGACAGTACGCCAGCCCGACTGTTCACTAGAGTGAAAAAAACTGGCTCCATTCAGTCTATCCTTTACCACACCATGGTTTTGAAATGCACTTCCATGCTCTCCTCCATCTATTCAAATCTTTTTTAAAATTTTTATCTATTACTCTTATTATTTTGCTTTAATTTGCTCACCAGAGAGAGACAGTGAGGAAGTGAGAAAGCAAGCCGCCAGGTCCAGGACTTGAACTGTGGTTAGCTATGTGGGAGGCAGTGCCTCAACCGCCATACCACCTGCTGGCCCCCAGCTATTCAAATCTTAAGCAGTCTTTTTTTTTTTTCTTTTTAAGAATTATTTTATTTAACTTTCTCTCTTTCTTTCTTTTTCTTTCTTTTAATTTGATCAGAGAGGGACCGAGAGAGAGAGAGAGAGAGAGACAGAGAGTGAGAAAGCAAGCTACCAGATCCGGAACTGGAACCAGGTCGGCCATGTGGGAATCCAGCACTCTTAACCACCACGCCACCTGCTGGCCCCGTCAAATCTTAAATAGTCTGAGATTAAATTCAATTCTCCAGACCAGCCAGTGGCATGTCAGTGGAGACAGCTGAATCACACATGGCTGACTGTGCAGTTTGAGTCCTAGATCTGGCGGCTTGAAAACTATACAAGGTGTGTGTGTGTGCGTGTCCAAATTCCCAAAAGGAAATGGAAGAAAACGGACAGCGAAGTGGCCATCCCCCATGGGAGATTCTTTCTTATCCTTCCCTCCCCTTTCCCATCTCTCTCTGGAAAGCTCACATGCCTTCTGGTGTAAAAAAAATTCAGTTCTCCTTTTTTTTTTTTTTTTTTTTGAGAGGTTTTTGCTATAGGGCACGTGCGCTCACCACACAGACAGAGACAGAGAGACAGAAAGCGAGAAATCACCCCCCAGGGGGGATGGCCACGCTGCAATCCCTTCTCCTCCATTCTCCTCTCGGGATCTCGGGCACGCACGCACACGCACTCGGAGTGAGTTTTAAGCCACTGGGTCTGGGACTCGAACCGCAGTCAACCATGTGGGAGTCCAGAGACATAGCCATTACGCTAACTGCTGGTCCCATCAGTTCTCCTTTTTATACAACCATATCAGTGCCATTTGGATTATTTGCTTTTAGTCTTTATTAAAAATTTCAATTCTCTCTATACTGCTCCCATAACCACATATACACACTTATAAACTGGCAAAAATTTTTAAGAACAAGATTATTTATAGACCTGAAAAGCTGGGTTTTGATATTGTTAATAACAAGATAACTACCTACCTAGTTTTAGGGAATTAGTTATGTAGTATGCTTCCTCATTTCATCCCATACCCTATTCCACAGAATTGTAATTCCACAGTAAAAATAAAACATAGTCACAGTTGCTTTCCAAGTTCATGGCATTTTAATCTAACAGTATGTTTTTAAACTCCTTGCATCTCAGTGATGCTGGTTATATAATAAATATTCAATAAATATGTGTAGTTGGGCTGGAGAACTGGAGAAAGCAGATCACGATGTGACCAGACACTGGGGAGGGTACTTTTCTCTCTCTCTCTCTCTCTCTCTCTCTCTCTCTTTCTCTTTCTCTCTCATGTGTGCATATGCACACTCTATCGTGAATAAAGAAAGAAAAATGGGAGGTGGGGGGGAACAGGGGCCAGCAGTTGGTGTGGCAATTAAGGTGCTCGATCCCACATGACTGGTTTCATGGTTTGAGTCTCAGACTGGCAGCTTGAAAATCATACTGGGCGCATTTGCGTGCATGCACAAAAACCTGAGAGGAGATTGGAAGAGAAGGGACTGCAGCAAGGCCAACTGCCCTGAGGGGTGATTTCTCACCTTCCATGTGTGTGTGTGTGTGTGTGTGTGTGTGTGTGTGTTTCTGGTGAGCACACACACCCTATAGTAAAAACAAAAACAAAGAGGAAAGAAAATAGGGATGTAGCCCTAGGCACAGTGACAATGTGCTGCACAAGAGAAGGCAGATTCCACATGTTGATCATGGTTTGAATCCCTGGCCTAGTGAGCCTAAATCGCTCTAGGCACACACATGAGTGCCCAGGCTCCAATGGCTGGAGGACTGGAAGAAGGAAATCAAGGCAAGCAGATGAGCACCTGTGGTAGTGCTCTTTTCTCTCTCTCTCTCTTTCTGTTTCTCTCTCTCAGCATTTTTTTCTCTCATGCATGTACTCTATCAGGAATTAAAACATAAATATGTGTTGTCACAGAATTATGAAGAAGTGAGTACCAATGTATTTGCCACATATTAATGGTTAACTCTTTGTAACTCTAACTAGAGTCTAGAATTTCAGAATGCTGGAACTAGAAAATATCTTCAAGAATGACCCTCCAACTTCTTCGTTGTCTAAATGAGAAAATTGAGACCCTCAGAAATGACTTACCCCAGACAAAATTATAACTAATTTCCATCAGGACATTCTATATTCAGGAGCCTATGGCTAGTTTCCAAAGGCTTACTTTTTTTGTTTCAAAGAGTGAGTTGTCTGGCCAGCTCTGTAATCTGGTGGATAAGGGAGATGGATCCCACATGGCTGACTGTGGTCTGAGTCTTGGCCTCTGGGCTTGAAAAACATACTGAGTGTGCGTACAGGAGAGCAGGCCCAAAATCCTATTGGGGGATGCTTTCTCCTTCTCTGTTCTATCTCTCTCTGGCAAGCACAGGTCCTCTCAGCAATCAAAAAGACAAAGAACAAGTTGCTCCTACTTACTCAGGAGAGGATCTTTCTGAGGTAGTCTATAACTCTCAAAGATAAAAAGAGTCAATAGCCTGAGAATCATCAATGAAATATTCAAGCATTTCATCCAACAGGAACTATAATTTTTATAGACCAAAGAAAGCTAAGGAACATGGATAAGAAAGGAGAATGGAAAATAGGAGAAAGAAGGGCTTTTGCATAGAAAAATATGTCACAGGATGTATTGAGACCTAACAAAAAGAGTGGTAAGGGGACCAGCAGATGGCGTAATGGTTATGTTGCTGGACTCCCACCTAGTTCGAGTCCCAGACTAGTGGCTTAAAACTCACACCGGGTGCATATGCATATGTGTCCAAAATCCCGAGAGGAGAACAGAGGAAAAGGGATTGCAGGGTGGCCATCTCCCCTGGGGGAGGTTTCTCATTTTCTGTCTCTCTGACAAGGGCACATGCCCTATAGCAAAAATCTCTCAAAAAAAAAAAAAAAGAGAGAGAGAGAGAGAGAAAGTGGTAAGAAATCAACAAAGAATTTAAAATAAACACATGAAATAAAAAATAAGGGGAAGAACACGAGGGAAACTATTCTACTTTTTAAAAATTATTTATTTAATTTTTATTTATTTATTATTATTATTGCTATAGGCCCGTATGCTCACCAGAGAGAGAGAGAGAGGACAGAGAGAGAGAGGGAACTTGATAAAGTAAGCCACCAGGTCTGAGACTCAAACCGTGGTCGGCCATGTGGGAATACAACACCTCGACTACCATGCTATCTGCTGGCCCCAAATTAGTCTACTTTTTAAAGTCTGTTTTCAGGTTTCCTTCAATTTCTTTCTCTTTTTCGCTTCAGATGGAGGAAAAGTTTTAAGAAACCCCCCCGAATATACATATTAGTCCTTTTCCATACAGTCATGGCAACAAGGTTTAGCATAGCATTTATTCATTTAACATTTTTTGAGCTCCTACTATATAGTGAGCTTGTTGCAGATTTTGAAGATTCAGAAAATAAGGAGGAGTTGTTGTCCTACAGAGACTCCGTTTGAAGATGGGCAGACCTATTTATAATCAAAGTAATTTTAATCCAGTGCAGTAAGAGATATTTCTGAGACATGAACAGGGGTTTGGGGAAGGATGACACTGAAGAGAGACTGATTACCTAGAAATGTAGGAGTCAGGAAAGTTTCCCTAGAGGAGATATTTGACTCAAGGCAGGGCT